ATGCATCAGTAGAAACAACTAAACACTTAAAAACAATTGGTGTTTGTATTTAGCAACTGCAAAATTTTACCTAAAGTTGGCAGTATGCTTTTTTAACAAAGTTCTTTACTCACGCTTTTTATATTATTTTATTTTATTGAGATGGGGTCTCAGTGTTGCCCAGGATGGAATGCAGTGGCGTGATTTTAGCTCACTTCAACCACTGCCTCCCAGGTTCAAGTGATTCTTGTGTGTCAGCCTCCCGAGTAGTTGGGACTACAGGCACGTGCCTCCATGTCCGGCTAGTTTTTTGTATTTGTAGTAGAGACAGAGTTTCACCATATTGGCCAGGCTGGTCTCAAACTCCTGGTCTCAAGTGATCCACCCACCTCGGCCTTCCAAAGTGCTGGGATTACAGGCATGAGTCACCGTGCCCGGCCCACACATGGTTTTATTTGATCCATATAGCAAACCCATAAAGTACACTTGCCAGTAACAACTAAATTAATTTCAGTGGAAATGGAAGCATAAGAAAAATTTGCACCAATTAGACCTGTTAGTCTCAGTTTTCACACCCATATTCATTCTATTGCTGGAGTTGAAGTGGCTCAAGGTTGGTAACTATACACTTCTAGATGTTTTAACTTGTTTGTATTACTTAGGACTATTTCAGAAACAAATAACAGTAAACCTATTCAAATTAGAGTTTGCTCATTGTGTGGCTTTAGGCAAGTTATTTATTGCTAAGTCTTTATTATATCAACTGGAAGTAAGCCAAAGAAGGAATTTATTTATTTAACTGGGAAGTCTAATGGGTAGATCTAGCTTTAGGAACAGCTATATCCAACAGAAATTATTTCTCACTGGAGGCTGGGAAGTTCAAGATTAAGGCACCAGCAGATTCGGTGTCTGGTGAGGGTTTGGTGCCTGGTTCTTAGATGTGTCTTCACATGGTAGAAGGAAAAAATGAGCTCCCTTGAGCCTCTTTTAATCCTCTTTGAGCTGATGATCTAGTCACTTTCCAAAGGCCCTATGCATCAGTATGTTCTTGCTCTGCTCTAAAGAAATATCTGAGACTAGGTAATTTATAAAGAAAAGAGGTTTGATTGGCTCACGGTTCTGCAGGTTGTACAGAAAGCAGAGAGCGGCCTCAGGAAACCTTTACTCATGTTGGAAGGCAAGGGGGAAGCAGGCAGGTCTTTCATGACTGGAGCAAGAGGAAGTGTGTGGAGGGAGGTGCTACACAATTTTAAACAACTAGATCTCATTAGCACTCACTATCGAGACAACAGCTCCATGGGGAATGGTGTTAAACAATGCGAAATTGCCACCATGACCCAATCACCTCCCATTAGGCACCACCTCCAATATGGGATTACAGTTCAACACGAGATTTGGATGAGGACACAGATCCAAACCATATCACCGTACCTCTTAATACCATCAGCTGGGGCTTAGGTTTCAACATATGAGTTTTGGGGGACACAGACATTCAGACCTTAGCACCTGGTAAGGTATCTCTTGGTCTGTTCTCCAATCTCTGCTAAGAAGTCCTAGTCTCTCACTTAGGAACTAGCTATCATTTATTGATCATCTACTATATGCTAGGTGTCCTATATACCTTACGTCTAATCTTCACATCTCTGCAGCTTGTTGGGCATTGTTATCCTCATTTTACAAATGTGGTCAGTATAGCATAGCAGTGAAACAAGGGAGTAGCCTTGTATCAAGAGTAGGGCCTTCAATTAAAACTGTCAGGGTTTTAATCTGGTTCCATGCATACTAACAGTCTGACCCAGACCAGTTACTTAATTTCCCTGTGCCCTTGTAGGTTTACCTCTAAGATGGAATAAAATCATACAAACTCACGGAGTTATTGTGAGTGTTAAACGAGTTAACATCTGTAAACATCTTATAGTGTTTGGGTTTCTAGTAACACCCAATGAATGTTAGCTACTATTATTAATTTGGTGTTCCCCAGGGTTGAGCCTGAGGACCTCCTTTTCACTCTGTATATCTGTGTCTCCCTAGGTATCCTCATCTAGTCCCATGACTATAAATATAAGCTATACTGGAGACTCCAAAATTTATATCTCTTGGCTGGGCACGGTGCCTCACACCTGTAATCCCAGCACTTTGGGAGACCGAGGTGGGTGGATCACCTGAGGTCAGGAGTCGAGACCAGCCTGACCAACATGGAGAAACCCCATCTCTACTAAAAATACAAAATTAACCAGACATGGTGGTGCATGCCTGTAATCTCAGCTATTCAGGAGGCTGAGACAGGAGAATTGCTTGAACCCAGGAGGCAGAGGTTGTGGTAAGCCAAGATTGCACCATTGCACTCTAGCCTGGGCAACAAGAGTGAAACTCCATCTGAAAAAAAAAAAAATTATATCTTTTGTCAAACATACTTTTCAAACATTGAGTCAGCTCATGTCACTTCTCCACTCAAAACCCTTGGATTGCTTCCTATCCCTTCTCAGTGAAGAAAACCAGAGTCCTAGTCAAGACCTACAAGACCCTATATTATCTGTCCTACTTTTCACACTTGTCTTTGAGTGTGTTCCATATTCTTTGTTTTCTCCAGTCACCTTGGTGTGCTTGTCAAAAACCCCTAGCACTGTTAGTCTTCCAATCTTTATATTGCTTTATGCTAGCAATCCTGCCTGGTATATTTTTCCCTAGATGTTCAGGTGACACATGCCTTCACTTCATTTAGGTTCCTGTTCTAATACTGTCTTATCAGAGAGGCCATCCTTGACCACTGCAAATAAAAAAGGTTTTCTTTCTTTCTCTTTTCTTCACATTCTGCTTTATTTTTCTTTGTGGTACTTTTTACCATTATGTTTATTCATTTGTTTGTGGCCTGTTGTCTTCCTCTGGAATGTGAGCTGTATTAAAGCAGGGACTCTGTTTTGTTCATAGCCCCTACATCAGTGCTTGGTGCATGGCTGACAGTCAATAAATATTTATTGGTTAACTATAATTATGTCAGTTGCTTAGCTAGTGAGTGTCAGAGTTTCACACCCAAGTCAGCCTCCCTTTACAAGCTCTTGCTCTTTTTATACCACTAATCTGCATATCATATTAGGGAAGATACAAACCTCGTTATGAATATACATCAGTTCTTAGGAATGTTCTATTTAAACTAGAAATTTTGTGCATATTAGGTTTGATTTGCTATTCATCACAATTTAACAAATATTTACTCCACACCCACTACATGCTCTTGGATAAGGAAAAAACCAATGACCAACTCACTAATATGGGGTGGAAATTTATCCAAGAAACTTAAACCTCAGGATAGGTACATATTTGTACTTGGTAATCTCTAAATTAAGAATTATTGGCTCTGGCTGGGTCAGTGGCTCACGCCTTTATTCTCAACACTTTGGGAGGCTGCTGTGGGTGGATTGTTTGAGCTCATGAGTTCAAGACCAGCCTGGGGAATATAGTGACACCCGATCTCTACAAAAACCACAAAAAGTTAGCTGGGCATAGTGTCACATACTGTAGTCCCAGCTACTTGGGAGGCTGACATGGGAGGAGTGCTAGAGTCTGGGAGGTCGAGGCTGTGGTGAGCTGAGATTACACCACTGCACTCCAGTCTGGGTGACAGAGTGAGACCCTGTCTCAAAAAAAAAAAAGAACTATCCTCTATATCCAATCCATCTGCAAAGAATTATTGATTCTTTCTGTTGCATAAACATAGAACATCTGTCTTCCCTTACCATTCTCAACTTTACTCACTGTTTAAGCCAAATTTCAAAATCTATAAAACGTATCCTGAGACCATCTACTTTTCATTTCTCTCATCTCTATAAACCCCAGTCTCAGGACAACTCCACTTGCCTAGGTGATCAGATTTTCCTAAATGCTTTCCTTGTCTTCCCATTTGCCCTCCCTTTCCACCCAGTAGCCAGAGTAATCTTATAAAAATGTAAACTACATATTATTCCCCTGCTTAAAAGCTTCAGAAGCTTCCTTTTGTTATTATTCCACTTAGAAAAGTGTCTAACTCTTGCGGTAATCTACAAGCCCCATTTGATCTGGCCCTGATCACCTGTTGCCCAGTCTTCCATCATTTTTCCACTTGCCCATGCTTTTCAGCCACACCAGCCTTTTATTTCTGTGAGCACAGTAAGGCCTTCCCTGTCTCTGAATATGTAGACTAGCAACTCCTCCTGTCACTCAGGTCTCACTGAAATGTCACCTCCCCAGAGAGGCCTTCTCAGACTACCTGATTTGTTCCCTCTTCTCCACTCACTCTCTGCTCTGTCAGAGCATAAACTGCATTCACTTGCTGTGCATTGCACAATTGTCATCTAATATTTATGGTCTATCTTCCTCCAGTAAAATGGAGACAGTGACTTTGCTTTAGCAGCAGGGTTTATAACAATATGTGACACCTAGTGAGCCCTCAAGAAACACTTGTTGAATGGGAAGTCTTTGTCTCAACTTTGGTAGCTTACGTAGGATCCCCATCATTTTCCAAAACAGTTTTAGTAACTCTGCCCCCTTCATATTCTCTCAAACTGATAGTATTGCTTCACCCACAAAAAGGACCAATATAGCAGGGAAAGGGTTCAGATCTGCCCTATCTCTCTGCAGCCATCAGATCAAGAGTTGGTCTCAGCTCAATAGTTTGGAATCATTAGATAAGGGAAAAAGGAAAGGCTGAAACGAATACTACTGAAATAAATAATGGTCATTTCTCACTTAAAATTTTGAGGAAAAGAGAAAAAAAATTCTTAAGATCAAACATTTTTGAACTCGGAGATGTTAGAGAAAGTAGAGGGGACAGAAAAATGTTAGAGTGAGGAGGAAAACGGAATCAAGAGGAGGCAAGAGGTAGAAAGAGCTCATACCATGCTGTGAGCTCTTGGTTCTGGGCTTGGGTACTACCTCTAATCTTCTGGATAAACTCCAAGGAAGAGAGTGATGGAGTGAAGTGGGCTGGGGGCGATAGAAAGGATGGGGTGGGGCACCAGGACGAGAGAAGCTAGAGTGAAAGAGAGGGACGGAGGAGAGAAGAGAGCAGAGCAATACAAAAGCAGCCTCGGATCTTGCCGGAGCTGCAAGCGTTAAGGGGAGGCGGGGAGTGACGCGGTTTGCGTCTGGAGCGGCTCCTTGGAGTCCACAGCATCCACCGCCGGAGCCTCGCCTTCCTTTTTCCCTCTGCAGACACAACGAGACACAAAAAGAGAGGCAACCCCTAGACCTGCGCGAGGGACCCACTCGCATCATGACCGAGACCACCAAGACCCACGTTATCTTGCTCGCCTGCGGCAGCTTCAATCCCATCACCAAAGGGCACATTCAGATGTTTGGTGAGTCCGCCCGCCCACCTCTGGAAGCCGCTTCCGCTCCTCTCCTTTCCCAGGCACCTGTGTTTTCCAGGGCGATTAAATGGGAAGCCGTGTGCCCCTTCGGAGGGGTGCGCCGGCTGATCCCGCTGGTGGAGGTCGGCCCCTTTATTTTGGACTCAGGAGAGGGGAGGCAGACTGCGTTTCTGAGGCGTCACTTGCCGGGGCCAGACCCGGCTCGCAGGGGGCCAGAGGTGGGGGATGGGAGGGGACTGGAGACGAGTGTCGTTAGGGGCTGGGCAGGGTTCGAGATTCCAGAACTGGAGTGCGGCGGTGCAGTGGTTCGGCTACCAGGCTGGGAGGACCGGGATGGGAGCAGCGGTTGGGGCGCGGAGAAGGGAGGAGGGGGTTGGAGGTAACATGCTGTTTGTTTAGCATGGGCGGAAAGCGTGAAGGAGTTAAATGGTGTATGTGCCTCGGATTCGCAAACACACTCGCGCCCAACACACCAGTGACAGGGGCTGGGGCTTCAAGATTAATTTCAGGTTTGGCTGGTGGTTCTGGGCCGCCCAGGGACGAGTGTTTGGGAATTGTGGACTGTGTATTGCGCGCTCGAGGTGGCTGCTGAGTGAATGGGGAGGGAGCCCTGGTCCACCTAGGTTCGGCAGCAGGGATCCGCTACCTAGGAAGGGGAAGGGGCGGGGCGGCGGCTGCGGGAGGCCCTGCGCGAGCCGGTGCCGAAGGATCGGGGCCTGAGTTGGCTGAGGCTCTGCCCAGGGTGGCGATGGCACCCGGAAGGCTTGCGGCGTCTAGCGTGTGTATGAATGTGCGAATGAGTGTATGCGAGTATATGCGTGTGCGTGTTGGGGGGAGGGGACACATCATCACGCGTTTGTTTCTTAGAAGCTCTGGGGTGTGGAGCCAGAGACAGCGAGCAGGGGCATCTGGCTGGCCGGTTCGGGGTCCAGCAGCGGCAGGGGAAAGGTGATCGATGCCTATTGGAGGTCTTGCGCCACCAGTGGGAAACCACGCGGCTTCACTGGGCTCGTTGGACTCCAAGGTGCGGGGCTTGAGCCTTTAGACCCTGAAAGAGGGATGCGGAGGTCTCTTTAGAAGCAGGAATTGAGAAGTTAGAAGTTGAGGGTGCTTTTTCTTGGAACTGAGAGAAACGAGGAGTAGAGAAGAGCGAGTGGGCTGGGGATGGGTGAGAGAGTGGGTGGGAGGCCGTGACCTGGCCAGCCAGCAAAGCGCTCTCCAGAGGCGGCGGTGCTGAAATGCAGGGCGCGCCGGAGCTGGATGCGGGCACACGTGTTTATCCGGAGCCCTCCTAGGGAGGTTTTGTGAAAACCACACCACAGCGGTAAAGACAGGGCGAGGTGGCTCAGGCTAAAAATATTCATCTTTAAACTTAAAAGGTGCGCTGAACTGGGCTCTCTTGTTAAAAACCTCATGGAAAGAATACAGAATTACTTTGAGCTCGAGGGCAAATCGGGTAGGCATATCTACACGATAGAAGGAGGGAGGCTGATAGCCATCCCTTCTTCACCATTCCTTCAGCTTTTAAAAGTCTTTTATGAAGAACCAATGCCAACTTGCCTGTTAAATAGGACTTCTGTTCAAGCATCAGGATAGACAAGAGCATCTCATTGGTCTTCTAAGAAATATCAGTGCCCTAAGAACGCTCCAGTTTCACTTTCCTTTAATGCTGGTGTCTTCCTCCCTTTCCTTCTTTTCCTGTCTGTTCACAAGTCCTCTAGCACTTTATGTTGTTGTACTTTACTCCTCTCCCTTGACCAGGCAGTGATGGGTTTTCCTTTGGAACTGAGAGAAAGGAGGAGTAGGGAAGAGCCAGTGGGCTGGGGATGAAACTCCGTGACTCTAAGATTCTGTGGTAACCCAGCGGGTACCACTTCTTTCTTCCTGGAGCTAGGATGTAGGTAATTCCAGTTGTTTTAGATTACAAGAAAAACAGATTTGGATTGAGAACCAAATATTCTGCCTTGCAGCTGAAGATTCTTTAGTAACAGTAATAAAGGCTTTTGTTATGTGAATATTGTTCTGCCAGTTCTCCATGAGCTTCAAGGATAGACTGGAAATAGGCATTAGTTGCAGTGGAAGAGTTTAGATACAGAAAGGTGAAAGGAGACTTTTGGCAGTAGTGATTATTTACTTAGTTTAAGAACTGAGGATCAGGGTAGAATGTCAACAAAGTCCTTTGCATGTCCATTAAAGTACAGCTCAGAGAACAACACACAAAAAAGTATAATGTGTTCACTCACTATGGCTTTAAGGAGCTTATTACCTAATGAAGAATTTAGCACATAAGCAGGTGAGAACGAAGCAAGAATAAGAACACAAAATGCACATTAAACCATTTTTGGTAGAATCTCCTATTGAAATTTTTGAGCTCTGGATAAATTTTATAATTTATTTTTGTAGAGCAGTTTCTGGTTGACAAAGCCTGTCATCTATGCCATGTTACTTATTCCTATTAATAACCTTATAAGAAAGGCATCATTACTTCCATTTCTCTAATGAGAAACTGACAGAAGCCAAGTGACTTTCTTATGAACATGCATAGAGGATGGGTGGCACTGAGACTTGAGCCTCACATTCCTGAATCGTCTTGTAGAGGCCTTCATACTGCAACAAAGTCAGAAGGAAGTGCCCACTCATCTTCTGACTGCATAATTCCATGAACACTCTATTTTCATGAACCATATACTTAACAGAATTAAATTGCCCATTAACTGAGATTCCTATACATGTGTTTCCTTTAGATTTTTGTCTCATCTCTAAAGAAACCAGTTATTTATGAACTATTTCCTCCTTTCAAATGACTTTTTAAATTTTCTCCATGACAACATAAAAATAATGCATACAACTAAATTATCAAGTTTTCGGCCAGGCACAGTGGCTCACTCCAACAATCCCAGCACTTTGGGAGGCCAAGATGGGCATATCACATGAGCTCAGGAGTTTGTGACCAGATTGGGCAATGTGGTGAAACCCCATCTCTACAAAAAATATAAAAATTAGCCAGGCATGGTGGTGCATGCCTGTAGTCCCAGCTACTCTGGAGACTGAGGATGGCTCAGAGGTAGGAGCCTGGGAGGATGGCTGAGGTAGGAGCCTGGGAGGCGGAGGTTGCAGTAAGCCAAGATAGCGGCCCTGCACTCTGTTCTATGTAATGCAGTGAGACTGTCTCAAAAAAAACTTTTTTCAAGCTTTTTTAAAGGTGGCTGAAATTTGTAATAAATTTTTTTTAAAAAATAGACACAAATAGGGCTTTTAAATTAGACATTTTAAATAGAGCTCTTATATCTTGAAATTCAACTTCCTACCCAAGGAAAAAGAGAAAGACTATAAACAAAAAGAGAAGTGGTGTTCAAAACTAAAACTTTAGTTTTAGACTTAGTTTCTAAACTTACTCTTCATCTTTGTAAAGTAGCACTTGTACAATTCTCAATATTTGTAAAATTTTTTAGAATGAGCTTTTCTTTTACTCTGAAAGGGAAGCTGATGTTATTTCTCCTATTTGAAGCTATAGAAACATACTGGAAAAATAATATTTGTGAGAAATATTTGACACTTGTATACTCAACTGTAACTAAAATGCTTTCAGGGATAAGTAAAAGTTTTTGGCAAAGTAAACCCATAAATGAATGATGTCATATCTCATGGGTATGCCTTATTACATACAAAGAAAATATGGAATGGACTTTTTTAAAAATGTAACTTCTTAATTTTTAAGTATGTAGAGATTATACTTTAGTGTAGCTTTCTTCATATTTATATTGCTATATTTGTCAATAAATCTGCCACTGGAAAGTCAGAGAGCAAGTTTAAATAGAAAAGTAAGAAAGGACAGCTCAGATTAATTTGGCTATAAAAAAGCAGAGGAATTGGGAGATTTCATCACAGCAGAAATATTTCTTGCTATTTTTTGTATTTTTTTTCTATTTTAATGTTTAGATATAGGGTCTTGCTCTGTTGCCCAGGCTGGAGTACAGCAACAGTGCCATGGCTTCCTGCAGCCTCAGACTCCACGTTCTGCTAGTTGCAATTTAGATCCAGATCTACCTGACTCCAAAAACTATTTTGTTTTTACTGCACTTTGATATTGTCTCCAGAAATTACCAAAGTCTAGCGTTTTTCCTCCTTTTAAGCCAGTCAGAGGCCTGATGCCTGACATAGAGAGGGATAACCAGGTGGCAAGGAGTTAGTCATTCAGATGAAGTGGTTAATACCAGGGAGAGCTTTCTGAAATAAGCTTCAGTGAGAACAACTAGAACTGGAAACTTATGGCATACATTATTTTTGAAAATTAATATTTCTTTGGTGGGGCAGGTGCAAAAAGATCCACAATACTGATAAGTCAAATGATACAAGATCTACTTTAATCATTTTCCAAGTACCCCAGCCTGTGGCATAGTAGAGTTGCATGTTTAGGTTGGACGCATGCACATGGCCACCACCTTGCTCCACAGAAGTAGTCCCTCACCAGCATCCAGGAGAATGTGACCAAAAAGAGGAGGTCATGGTGGCTGTGACAGCCAGAAATGACCAAATCCAAATTCCATTCTTTTTCTGGGCTCAAGTGAACCTTTCACCTCAGCCTCCTGCATAGTTAGGACTACAGGCACCACGGGCACACCCTGGTAGCTAATTTAAACAAATATTTTAGAGACAGGGTCTTGTTATTTTGCTGAGGCTAGTCTCCAATACCTGACCTCAGGTGATCCTCCCACATCAGCCTCGCAAGTAACTGGCATTATAGATGTGAGCCACTGCATCCAGCTATATCCTGCTTTTTGATAATTGTAAAATAACTGGATTTTCCAGTTTTCCTATTTCAAAAACAATTTTTTTTTTGCTTTGAACCGGATCATTTGAAAAGACATAATCCAGCTTTGAACTGGATCATTCGAAGAGACACAGTTCAATTTTGTTCTTCTTAAAGGGTAATGAAGAAGGCCTTCTATTGTTGCAGAATTAGAGATGCAGCCCCTACTACTACAGCT